TTCGATTATAACCACGAGACGATAATAGAGAATTTATCTTATATCGGTAATTTCCTTTTTTATCATAAAAAAAAAAAAATTATGATAAAAAAAAATTATCTATTTGAATAACAAATAGTAATGAATAGTAATTGAAATATAAATAGTAATTAAATATAAATTTAAAAAAAAAATAGTCGTTAATTGTAAAGGGATCTTAAATATCGACGAAAGGTAAATAACGTTACAGATTTTTCACAATCGTGTTCATAGTAAATAAAAATAATTAAAAACCTATTTTAAAAAATATCATTCATATTTGTTTTGGTTTTGAAAACATTTAAAAGGTATATGTATATAATTCAAAGTTCATAAAGTATAAATTAGGCTAAATTATCGTTAAATACAAATTAGTAAAAAATTTCTCTTTTCATTGTAATGAAAATATTCTTCATTTGCGAATAAATATATATTTGGGCATTCCACGGGAGATTTTTATTGAAAATTTTTTTTTCCCCGAAACATTTTTTTTTTCGAAATCTATATGAAAAATAAGGATATACGTATTTTTTTATTTGATAAAAATGAAGGAAGTTATGATTTTTTGAAAATTAACGTCAACGATGGAAGTGTGTTTTTGGGACATTTTTTAATCTATTGTACTAATAAATTAAAAATTATGCTATATATGAAATTTGTTCATTTTTTCTTAAATTTTTCAAATATCTGCTCAAAAATAACGTACCTATAAGAGAAGTTGAAGTTGAAATTAAACTCAAAAAGTGAGTTTTCTCAAAAGAGACACTTTGGATTTTTAATTTTTTGTTTTTGCATTACAATCTCTGGTGACTGAAGAATTTTTTCCCCTATCTGCGAAAGTGGTACTTTTAGTTTTTAAGCGTTACTATTTACAATTTTTTTAGTACGGCTCACAGAATTTAAGCAGTTATTTTACAAATATAACCTTTTTCCATTATTATTCATTTGTTTTTTTTAATTTTCATAAAAACATACTAAAAATTGTTGCGTCGAGCTTAAAAATTGTAAATAGTAACTTAAAAACTAAAAGTACCAATTTCGCAGATAGGGGAAAAAATTCTTCAGTCACCAGAGATTGTAATGCAAAAACAAAAAATTAAAAATCCAAAGTGTCTCTTTTGAGAAAACTCACTTTTTGAGTTTAATTTCAACTTTTTTGTTGCTTCTCTTATAGGTACGTTATTTTTGAGCAGATATTTGAAAAATTTAAAAAAAATGAACAAATTTCATATATAGCATAATTTTTAATTTATTAGTACAATAGATTAAAAAATGTCCCAAAAACACAATTCCATCGTTGACGTTAAATTTCAAAAAATCATAACTTCTTTCATTTTTATCAAATAAATAAATAAAAAAATACGTATATCCTTATTTTTCATATAGATTTCGAAAAAAAAATGTTTCGGAGAAAAAAAATTTTCAATGAAAATTTCCCGTGGAATATATATATGAACGAATTCATTGAAATTTGAATCTTTCTTTATATTGATTAGTCAGTTAAAAATACGACGAGAGATTATCAATAATGGAAACTGACAACTTTGCCAGAGTTTATACTTCGTCCTGGATCTTAGCAGTAAATTTTCACTTTTTAAGTTTGTTTTCATTGCCTATACACTTTCTACACTTTCGTATATCTATTTCTATATATATATATATAAATTCAGAACCATAAGAAAAAGTCTAGAAAGTGTTCCATCAGTGAACAAGAACAAATTTACTGAAATAATTTCAAATAGAGCCGCAACAATATAAATTAGGATTTCTGATTGCGAAAGTGAGAAAATTAAGACGAACTGGTAAACTTTTATACAGACTTTTATTTTGCCTTTATCCCATTCTTTTAATCGTTTCTTTATACCCATTAATTAATTGATTGGTGTTTTTTTTTCTCTTGCAAAAAAAGTTCATTCGCTTCTTGGGGGGCTCATAAATACCACATAAAATTCATTTAGTTTGAATTTTCCTTGGAATTTCAATTAACTTCAAAGTCGAATTTTCATTTTTCAAATTTGTATATTCAATATAGAATTTAAATTAACCTGAATTTTTATTTAATAAAATATTTAAAAATTATTCTATTCTTATTTTATAATTTTTATTTTGCACAATTTCTTTATATTCGATTGATATACACCAGAGAAAAATGGAAAAACGAATAGAGTAACTTTTACTATACTTTAAAAGAAAAACCTTAACTGTCCGCAGTTTATGAGCATTTCTGTGTCAATTTTTACTCCAGAAATAGTAAAATTTATTTCGAAAATAATAAATTTTACTATTTCTGGAGTCAAAAATGCGCAGAAACTGTGGGCAGTTTCGGTTTTACTTTTAAAGTAGTAAAATTTACTCTATTCCTTTTTCCATTTTTCTCTGTGTATTATATTTCAAAAAATGTAATTTAGTCGAATTATAATTTTGCCAAATTCTCATTCAAATTTAATTCAATTAGAATTCTTTGAAATAAACGAATTCGATAAAGAGAAATTGTTAAAATGTAAAAACAACTCAAGATGTAAGTAGTAGATTTTACTACTTAAAGTGGTTCAATAGGCTTTAAGAACATTTTTTTGATACATTTAATAAATATTTTGCAATTGAAACTACTACTTTAAGTATAGTAAACTTTACTACTGAAAGTGGTTCAATAGGCTTTAAGAACATTTTTTTGTAGAATTAATAAATCTTTTGCAATTAAAAATACTACTTTAAGTAGTAGATTTTACTACTTAAAATAGGAAAATAAAATTATTTTTTATTTATAATTGTTTATTATCAGTAGAATTGACTTTTTCATCCTCTCTCCTATACTGACGCTTATTTTATGCCCTAACGATTATGTACCTAACAGAGAAAAATTCCAACCGACGGGAATTGAACCCTCGACCCTAACGCTCGCAATCCGATACCTTAACCGACTAACCACGCACGCTCGCTACGACATTCTGCAAACTACTCGAAGACTACTTTCTGCTTGTCCAATTGGTAATTTAACTATTTAAAGTAGTCATTTTTACTACTTTTATTAGTTGCTATAACTATCCTTTTTAAGTTTTGACTTGTCAATTTTTCATCTTTTAATTATATTATAAGTTGTTTTATTGCATAGTGCAGTAAAATCTACTACTTAAAGTGATAGTTTTAATTGCAAAGGATTTGTTAATTCTACGACATAAATGTTCTTAAAGCCTATTGAACCACATTAAGTAGTAAAAGCTAACACTGAAAGTAGTAGTTTTAATTGGAAACGATTTCTAAATTTTACATCAAAAACGTTTTTCAAGCTTATTGAATTAATTAAAATAGTAAAAAATTACTACTTAAAGTAGTAGTTTTAATCACAAAGGATTTGTTAATTCTACAACAAAAATGTTCTTAAATCCTATTGTACCACTTTCAGTAGTAAAATCTACTACTTAAAGTAGTAGTTTTAACTGGAAACGATTTGTAAATTCTACATCAAAAATCTTCTTTAAGTTTATCGAATTAATTAAAATAGTAAAAATCTACTACTTAAAGTAGTATAGTTTTAATTACAGACGACTTGTTAATTCTACAACAAGAATTTTATTCAAGCCTATAAAATCATAGAAATTAGTAAAAAAAAATATTAATTAAAGAAAATAATTCCTTTTACTACATTTCATATAACTGGTGAATAGTAGTTGGATTTACTACTCTTGAAATTTTGAGTTGACTACAAATTCCACTTGTTTTTACTATACCTTAAGAAAGTTAATTTTACTACCGACCTGTAGTTGTACTTTAACTACATATTTACGAAAAATCAACTATTACTTATTAACTTCTTAAAAATAGTTACATTAACTACAAGAACATGATTAGATTAACTAAAAAAGTAGTTATTTTAACTACTTTCTAGTCAACTACCCAATGGTAGTTGAATTTCTCGGTAACATTTTTATATAACCGAAAATTAACTTCACAGAATTTTTATTTCTTCAAATTTTTTATTTGCTCAAATTTTCATTTAACATAATAGGCATTTTAAAGAATTTTTTTGGGTAGAATTTCATATATATAGCATAGAATTTTCTTCAAGATGAATTTTCATTTGTTCCAATTATTATTTGATATAATTTCCATATAATCAATTTTTCATACTACAGATTTTTTCTTAACCAAAAAATCATTTAACAGAATTTTTAATTGATATAATAGAATTTTCATTTGTCCGAAATTGCAAATGACCGAAGCAACAATTGATTTTGGCGCGATTTTTAAAATCAACCAATCACAATTTTATAGATAATTTTTTATTGGTTGATTTTAAAAATCGCTCCGAAATCTTTCTGTCTGTTTGTTCGGACATTTTTGCAATTTCGGACAAATGAAAATTCTATCAATTAGAAATTCTGTTAAATAATTTTTCGTTTAAGTAAAAGTTCTGTAGTATGAAAAATCGGTTTGATGGATATTACATCAAATAATAATTCGAACAAATGAAAATTCATCAGAAAGAATATAATGAAAATTCTATGCAATGAAATTCTACACAATAAAAATTTTTTAAAATGCCTATTATGTTAAATGAAAATTCGAGTAAATAAAAATTCTGACAAATAAAAATTCGAACAAATAAAAATTCTGTGAAGTGAATTTTCGGTTATATAAAAATTGTGTAATACAGAAAATTCTTTTGATGATAATTCTGCAAATTACTAATTAGAACAAATAAAAATTCGGCTCAAAAATAATTATGACAAATGAAATTCCATAAAATGAAAATTCGCTAACTAATGATTTTTAGAACATAATCGTGGGTCCCAAATTTTTACTACTTTCAATTAAAGAGAAATGAATCAATGTATCTTAACAAATATAAATTATTTCTCTTCAATGAAATTAGATTAATCACACCATTTATTATAATGTATATGTCGTATATACGTGAATTTGTTTCAATCAGATATCATTAAAGAGAGACAATATCATGAGAATTTACACGGCATTCATACCTGAAGTTCTGCTTGTGAAACGTCAATTTCTCCTCTGTAGACAAATTCAATGATGAATTTGAGATCATTGAAGCATACATCCTGGGGCATTATAATTGTTGGATGTTTACAGGGGTTGGAGAGTAACAATTTTTGAAAGTATGAACTGCATGCAGAAAGAACCACCTGTATAAAAAATTTAATTTTTGATTATTTTCAAAATTAATTCTTTAAAAAAAAATTAAATTTTTTCTTTCATTTCTTCTGTTAAATATTTTTTACCTTGTGTGCCTTTAGAGATGCCTCATTGCAAGCCAGGGTGACATCGACGAAAGCTTCAGTTTGTAATAGCTGATGAAAGACAGACGTCATATTCGACTGGTAATTATTCCAGCGCAGGCAGTAATGCTGCCCGGCCATGCCTCCACTGAAAAAATAAATAATAATTTTCATTATTTTGCTTTTTCAAATATTTTCATCATTTTTTTTGTTATATTAAAATAAAATTTTTTTTACTGGAATTCCAGTAGAACGTCCGAAATATCTCGTATTTTTATATATTTGCCACCTGCCTCACCCTGCTTTTTTCTATTCTAGTTCCTCGCCCTGTATAGCAAAAAAGCTACCATTCCCTGAAAATTGTCACAATTCGGATGTTCCACTGATTATTTTGCATTTATCAACAAAAATTTACCAGAAATTCACTAAACATAACCGAAAAAAATTTTTATCTTTAAGGTTTCTTTTCACTTGAAACTTGATATAGTATGGCAATTATTGTAATTTAGAAAGTTTTGTGCAAAAATTCGTATACTTTTGTTGATGACAAAGGCACATTTTCTCGAATCAAAAGAGATATAGATACAAATATATATAACCTTCATTTGACATAAAAACCTGATTCATTTCATTTGCGCAGCATACACAGAGAAATAACTGAATAAGGTTACAAGGAGGTAAGTAATAAAAAAAATTATATTGCACCTGCTTCTCGTAAAGACTGACTAGGTTCCTCTTTTTTTTTTCTTTTTTTTTTTACACAGCAGATCTCAATTTCATTCCGTTCACTTCTTTTCGTATTACCTTTCTCCAGAAGAATAAGAATATAAATTCTATATCAAAATTTTTTAAATCTCAAGATATGAAATTGGAAAGTTTATTTCTTTGTACATAAAGAATTATGTTTATTTTACATTTTATAATCAAGTATAAACTGAGGTTAATGTCAGTTTGGTTACATTATTTAAATATCAAAATTTTGCGACGGTTATATATGTCAAATTTATTTGTGATATTATTATAGTCTTTTCTTGCTTTTATTCAGGTGACCGCAATTAATTAAGGATTTTTGAGTCTAAAAATTGATCTAGCTGTATCGTATGTTGAACTACAATTTTGCAAAATCCTTTTTTGGGGACGTCTACAAAACACGGGGCCAGACCAAAACGCATATGATTATGTTCTAAAAAAATCATTATAGTTAGAATCGGTTAGAATTTTCATTTTATGGAATTTTACTTGTCATTATTACTTTTAAGCCGAATTTTTATTTCTTTGAATTAGTATTTTGCAAAATTTTCATCAAAACGATTTTCTATAGGTGAAACGATTCTACGGAAACTACTTCACGGAAATTCCACACGGAATTCCGTAAAAATTATATACAGAATTCCGCAAAATGTTTGAAAGAAGTTCTTTTGTAATTTTGCGAATTTTTTATAAGAATTACACACATAATCTCTATACAGAATTGCACAAAATTTTTGTTGGAATTGCACAAAATTTTTGTTAGAATTTCACAACTGTACACTGAAAAAAATTTAGCCGAAATCCTCAACTACCTTTAGTTAACTGACTTGAAATTAGTAAAAGTAACTACTTTTTTGGTTATTTTAACTATGTGCGTGTAGTCAATTTAACTATTTTTTATGGAGTTAAGAATTAGTATAGTTAATTGTACTTAACAAAAGTAGTTAAATCAAACTTCAAAAATTAGAACAATTACAAAATCTCCTTGACTCAACTAAATTCTTAGTTCTTTTAACTACTTTTTAATAGTCCATACAACTTTTTAAATTCAGTTAAGGACCTATTGAACTATGCAGGGTAGTTAAAAAGTAGTCAAATCTACTAGTTTTTTTTATTGAGTGTATTTTTTACTGATTTTTTTGTAATTTTAAAATAACTGCTGGTGGATACACTGAAAAAAATTAGTCGAGAAATTCAACCACCGTTAGTTATAGTTGACTGAAAAATAGTAAATTTCTTTTGGAAAACGTTTTATTGACCTCTCAAATAACTTCGACTAGATATTAATTAATCTATCATAAATTCTATATTATATCCACCAGGAACATCATCGTCGACTAGTTTTCGTTATAGTAGCAGCAGTTATTTTAAAATCACAAGAAAATCAGCAAAAAATAAAGTTGTGGAATTTTATTGAAAATTTTGTGCAATTCTGTATGGAATTCTTTCAAAAAAAATTCGCAAAATTACGAAAGGAATACTTTCAAAATTTTGCGGAATTCCGTATAGAATTTTTGCGGAATTTCGTATGGAATTTCCGTGGAGTGATTTCCGTAGAATCGTTTCACCTGGGGAGAATTTTATTTATATAACAGAAAATTCTGCAAAATACTAATTCGAACAAATACACAGAAAATTAAAAGGCATTAAAATAAGCTGCAACGCTTATTATATTTTAATCCAATTTTGCTTATTTTAATACCAAAATGAATTAAAATAAGCAAAATTTGATGAAAATAATAAGCATTGCAGCTTATTTTAATGCCTTTTAATTTTCTGTGTAAAAATTCGGTTTAAAAATAATTATGACAAATGAAATTTCATAAAATGAAAATTCTAACTAATGATTTTTAGAACATAATCATGCATCCCAAAATTTTACTTTCTAATTTTTGAATTACCGTCAACTGGGGCTATTCTACTCACCCGGGGTTATTATACTCAGCGCCCGTTTTTAATTAACAAAACATTTATATTAAAATATTTAAACTTGCCGCTTGGTGTAAATAATATTGTTTAATAGTTTTTATTACAGAGGGCGCTAAATGTTAATACTTAATTTTTTGTAAGATTTTTTAATTTCACAGAAAATTAAAAGGCATTAAAATAAGTTGCAACGCTTATTATTTTAATCCAATTTTGCTTATTTTAATATACCAAAATGGATTAAAATAAGCAAAATTGGATTAAAATAATAAGCGTTGCAGCTTATTTTAATGCGCCTTTTAATTTTCTGTGTTTTTAAATTCATCTGAAAGAAAATTTTATTCAATGAAATATTCTATCTTATTAAAATTCATTAATATATGTCTATTATGTTAAATAAAAATTCTTAAAAATAAAAATTCTGTGAAGTAAATTTTTGGTTATATAAAAATTCTATAATATTGAAAATCGTTCTTATAGTTTCAAAAAAAAATTGTTCATTATATCAAAGAAAGTCTAACATTGATACACGCATAGAAAAAATTTTCTGTGGCAGCAAACTATTTGCTATTACATCAAATTACGTTAGCTATAATACAGGGACAGCGAAAAAATTTGCTGTGGTGTCAAAAAAGTTTGCTGTGACAGTAAATTTTTAAAAATTAAGACTAATATTGTTTATCACAATAAACTTTTTCACTGTCATAGCAAAAAATTTAGCTGTGGTTATTAATTTTGATAGATCCAATAGCAAACATCAGTTAGAATCTTTAAAAATTTCCTTTTTTTCCATGTATAGGGCGAAAGAAATATTTATTTGAATTAAACAAAAAAAATTCTTTTGAAATGAAGATAATTTTTTTTTTTTTTTTTTTTTTTTTTGAATCAAAGATAATTTGTTTGAAACAAATAAATTTTCTTAGTATCATAAAAAAAGTTACCAAAGAAATTTTATTTCTTTGCAGAGTTTTTAAAAATCTAAAAAATATGATTTTAATTGTTTGAAAATCTTTAAATTAACAGATATAAAATTAAACTCACAATGGTTGTCAAAAAAAAAAAAGAAAAAAAATATATATATATCTCAGTGGTTTGATCTTCTTTTTTCACAGAGCGAGAGAGAGAGAGAGAGAGACACATGTTTTGAAAAAGTGCACTTACACAATCGTAAAATTACTTATATATAACGATAATAGCGCCATCAACCGAGTTGCGAATAACACGTGGCAAAAGTACCTGTAGTGTACACCCCAATAGGGACCAGTCTCCATAAAAAGGTCCTTCTCACCGATATATCACCAGTGGGCAGCGCGTATGAATGCAAAAAAAAAAAACAAAAAAGAGAGGACAAAATCGAGCAGACTCTCTCAAAGAGTATGGACGATACTAACGATAAGAAAAAAAAAAAATAAAAAAAAAAAAAAAAAAAACACTAAAAACCGTAGACACTAAAGATATAGAGAAAAAGAAGATGAAAAAAAATCTCCAAGAGCGATGAAGGTGAGAGACGCATGAAAAGATCCACGTCTGATGAGGAGTGGCTGAAGGAAGACTGATAAAATTCCGGGGAAAAACACTTTTTTGCAACGTGTCTCTAAATTCCAAAAAAAAAAAAAAAAAAAAAATGTTCTCAATATTTCTTTCTTTTGAAATTGTTAAATTTTTCCAATTGCACTTCACTTTAAAAAAAAAAAATTAAATCCGAGACAAATTATCTTTTTTTTTTCTTTTCTTTTTTGCAAGATGTTTTTGGATCAAAGTTCGGGGCGTTGGTCCGTCGACATTCACCTGTTCTCTGAATCGTGTTTTATCAGTTTCTATCTATGTGACTCTTTATACGGCACATTCTCCTTATCTGTCCGCAGGCACACGGACTTTTATCAGCTGCTTAGACGTGGGACGATAACGAAAATTCTCTAAACTCATTCTTCTCTCTCTTCTTTTTCTATCTCGCAATATTCTTCAACATATTCTCTCTGTCTCTATACCTATTTCTCCTTCTTTCTTTTTTTTTCTCTTTGTCCCTCTCTCTCTCTATCAATCTGCATCCTTATCTCATACCCCCTTGAAAAGTTGCTTTATTTCTATTTTTAAGTCTTTCGTTTATTTCTTTTCTTATATTCTTCTTTTTTTTATCTCTCCAAATTTCTTTTTTTTTATCTTTTTCATATATATATATATATTATTATTTCTTCTTTTATTATACCTCCCACGTTTTTTCACTTCTATACACATTCCACTTCATCTTCGTTTAAAATTTTCAACTATTGTTTATTTTTTTCTGAATTTATTTTTTTTAAGGTAATTTTTCTTTTCCTTTCAAAAAAATTAATTTTCTTCTCTCTACAAATTTGAATTAGTAAAAATGTTTACTAATTTAAATTAGTTATTCACTTTTTGCTTTAGAATGTAGTTTAATTTTACTAATTGTATAGTAATTGTATCAGTACTGTAGCAGTACCACCCCAGTAC